GGGGGGGGGGGGGGGGGGGGGGGGGGGGGGGGGGGTGAAACCCTTCCCAGTGTCCCGGGCAGCACCGGCACAGGGGGCGCCGCTGGGTGAGGGGCTGAGATGTCTTTCTTTATCCTTACACATAGATAGAATTAGCTTTTTAAATCATAATCTCTACGTCCGTCTCTAAAGTCAGCCCCAGACACGCACAGAGCCTTAAAAGAAAAAATAAAACTGAAAAGAAAAAAAAAAAAAAAAAGAAAAAAAGGAAAAAAAGAAATGAAAGAAAAGAAGAAAACTTTAAAAATAATAAGAAAATGAAAAGGGGAAGGAAGGGGGGGAAGGGGGGGGAAACAAAAAGGTAAAACTCGTGGAACAAATAGGAGAACTATTTATTCGGTTCACAGTCGTGTGAAATGCAGCAATAAAAATCTTTGGACTTCAGCAAAAGTTGTTTTTAATTATTATTATTATGATTTTGAATTTCAAAAAAGAAAAAAACCCAAACAAACAGCGTCCAATGTCCATTCAAACAGTGCTTAAGTCTATTAAAAAAAAAAAACGGAACTTAAGCATTAAAAAAAAACAAACCAAACCAACAACATAAAGACAGCATCTAAAAAATCTCCATTCAACCAAAAAAAGAAAAAAAAAAAAAGCGATTAGAAGAAAAACAGCAAAGCCCCAAAGCAAAAGGAAAGCAAAACGCTGAAACCAACAGCGATCCGAAAAAGAAAAAAAAGAAAAAAAAAAAAAAAAAAAAGAAATACTTTATAATCTGATATCTCGTATTTTTACACCACCTTACCTGTAAATTATATATACATAGAATATTGCAGAATTATATCTAATACACAATATTTTCGCTATGAATGCTGGTATAATCTTTATACACTGGCCCTTTTTTTTTTTTTTTTTTTTTCCTCTTTCTTCTTCTTCCTTTTTTCCTTTTTTTAACCTTTTTTAATTAAATTATTGCATCGTATAAACTTCGCCCCCTCCCCTCCCCTTTCCCCCTTTCCTCCCCCCTCCCCCCCCGGCTATTCGCTGTCCGACTTGCCGTCTTTCGCCGTGGTGGAGTGGTTGTAGAGCCCCTGGGCCATGAGATGAACCGCCAGCGAGTTCTTGCTGCCCGTCGCCTTCTTGATCTTGGCTCTCTTGTTCTGGAACCAGATCTTGATCTGGGACTCGTTGAGTCCGAGCTCCTGGGCCAAGCTCTGCCGTCGCTGCTCCGTCAGGTAGCGGTTCGTCTGGAACTCGGCCTTGAGTCTCTGCAGCTGCTCGGCCGTGAAGGCGGTGCGGGGCCGCTTGTCCTCCTTGTTGGGGTTCTTCTTCTTTGGTTTGCGGGAGCGGGGACCTACGGCCGGGCGAAACGAGAGCACCGACAGCGCACCGCCCCGACCCCCCCCCGGCCCCGCTCAGCATCCCGAGCTGGAAGGGGCCCGGCGGGATCAGCCCGTACCTCCCCCTCTTTCCCCAACAACGTTTCTTTTGACCGTATTTCAGAATTAACCTCCGCCTTCTTTACTTCTTATAAAATACCCTCGGTACCGATAGATACAGACGGATACGAAAGATGAAGCTCGGCCCACCGCTCCTCTCGCGGCCCGGTTCGCTCCCCGACCCACAAACGCTGCTCTCCGCCCGGGCCGAGCCATTGTGCGGATGAATGTTAATTAAATATTAACAAAGGAGAGCACCGGAGAACAATGGGGTAAATTCCAGCTCGGCCCGGAATATTACCTCGGTGCGAAAAAGAGTTTTGTTTTCAACCTCAACCAACTCCTTCCCAACTCTCCTTCCGATCCTCCTTCGGTCGTTCCGCTCTCGGAGCGACCACCGCTTTGTCACAGCCCCGTTCCGGAGCTCTGGCCCCGCTCGAAGCTCCCCATGCTCTTCCCCAGCGATCTCAGCTCCTTTTTGAGCTATGCTCTCTCGGAACGGCCGGGACCGCTCTCTCCCTGCGGCATCACACGGACGTGTCAGCCCGGAGAGTTTTGGTTTGGTTTTTAAATATATATACATATATTTAACTCTTTTGTTGTTGTTGTTTTGGAGGGAGGAGGGATAAATTCAGGGTTTTCCCCCGAGCACCGACCGTGGCCCAGAAGTTCCCCAGCTCTCGGAGATCTCTCCCGGCCCCCATAGAACAGTGTGTGTGTGGGGGGGAGGAATTAAAAGAAAGGAAGGATGCGGCGGTCGCTCCGGGGCCTCTTTAAGAGAAATAAAATCCTCGGGGTTGCGGGGGGGGGTAAAAATAAATAAATCAAAGCAAGGTCGGGGGAAAGGGGGGAGGGGATGGGAGCACCCACGTCCCCAAAGATCAGCCCGGGGAGTCGAGGGGGGGAGAAGCAGGGAAGGTCCGAAGTGGATTTTTCCCCGTTCTCGGCCCAAACCCTGCGGCCGGGGGGATGCTTCGCTGCCGCCCCGCTCCTCGGCTCCGAGCTGCGGACGGGGATGGAGGGATCCCCTCTCCTCTCGGCCCCGCTCCTCCTTTTCTCCTCGTGTTTTCAGCTCCCACAAAAGCAAACGGGCGAATCGGGGCCGGGGGATTTTTTTTCCTGCCTCCCTCCCGGACCGCGGCGGAACCCAATTCGTGGCTGCTAGGAAGCAGCTCTTACCTGAAGACGGTCGGTCCGAGTACCGCGTGCAGTACACCCAAGCGGGCCAAAGCATGGGTTGATTCCCGGCGTTGGAGCCGGCCTGGGAGCTATCCGAGTCCGAGCTCACCGACAGCTCCGCGCCGCTCAGCCCCCTCGCTTTCAGGGCCGCCTCCAGAGCCGCGGGGTCTCCCCCCTTCTTGGCCGCTCCGTGCAGGGCCAGAGCGGCGGGGCCGCCCTCCCCTCGGCCCGGCGATCCCCCCCCGCCGCCTCCTCCTCCTCCTCCTCCGCCGGGCACCGGAGCTCCGGGAGCGGGCGCGGCGACCGCGGGGCTCCTCCTGCTCTCCGCTCCGGGCCTTCGGGGTTCTCCGGCGGTTCCTCCCGCTTCCTTCCTCCGACCGAACTCGGGCCTCAGGATGTTGTCGATGAAGAAGTTGGTGATGCGGTGAGGGTGCGGGTGGGGATGCGGGGGATCGCCGGGTGGCAGCAGCAGAGCCCGACGCCCTCCGCCGGGTTCCGCGTCTCCGCCGGACTCCTGCGGTTCGGCCGCCTCCTCCCGGGGGCTGCGGCCGCCCTCCTCCATCGTGCGCGGCCCCGCAGCGGCTCCTGCCCGCCCCGCCGAGCGCTGCCTGGGGGCGGCTGCCGCGGTCGTTCGGTCCTTATTTTAATTTTTTTTTTTTTTAATATATAGATCGATATATATATATATATTTCTATATACACACGCACAGGTGTCTATTGGTTTGCGCTTCTTCTGGCCGCGCCCGGCATTCAAAATCCAGAGTTCGTCCAAAAAAAAAAAAAAATTATTAATAATAATAATAAAATAAAAATTAAAAAAACAAAAATCGTAATTAATTACGGTTGTTTTGAAATAACGCCACGGAGACGCAGAAGGCAGCAGCCGAAGCTCCACGAGTTCCAACTTTGCAAAAATGCGCGCACCGCTCCGCTCCTCCCGCCGCCGCCGCTCGCCGCGTCCCGCGGCCGCCGCCGCCGCGCTTCATCCGCCGCAAAAAATAAAATAAACAATTAAAAATAACGGGGGTTATAAATATTTCAAAAAAAAAATGCGGCCGCCGTCGGGGTGGGGGTAGAAGGAAGAGAAGGAGGAGGGACCCCCGCAGCCGGCGCTCCCCGCGGGGCTCCGGCCGCGCCTCGCCCCGCGCCCGCACATGCGGGGGCCGCCGAGGGTCCGAGGCGGAGGAAAAGAAAGACAGGGGGGGTCCGGGGATTCGGGGGAGGGAGGGGGGGGTTCGGGGTGGGGGGGGGCGCCTCCCGCCCGCCCGCGCTGCCCCGGGGCCGGCGGCTGCTGCCCGCCCCGCGCTGCCGCCACCGCCGCGCCCGGCCACTCGCGGCCCGGCTTGTTGTCCTCCGGTTTTAACGGGGCCCCGCCGGTGACGTCGCCGACCCGGGTTCCTCGACACGTGCCTCGGGCCAATGGCAGAGCCACCGCCGACACACGTGGTGCGGAGCGGCCCGGTAAGTGACAGCCGAGCGGCCCCTCCCCGCCGGCCCCCGAGGGGTGGGGGGTGCCCCGGGGGTGGGTGGGTTCCGCCGCCTTCCCCCCCCTTCCCCCCACCCAGCACCGCTTTTGTGTCCCCCCCCCCTCCCCGCTCGCGCCGCGCGGTATCGTTAGTTTTAATTTCCGCGCTGTTTACCGGGGGAAGGGGGGGGGGGGGGTCGAAGGGGGGACATCCCATAATTCCTTGCAGAAATGCATAAATCATATTAAGCCTTGCTACAAAGCGAGGGCGGGGGGGTGTGGGGGGCGACGGGCTGCCCGATCTGCCGGTCTGCGCTATTTACCGGAGGGGGCCCCATGCCAACCCCCCTCGACATAACCTCGATGCCGCTTTCCCTTTTGTCTTTAGGAAGAATTCCCTCGGAACAAAATTAGGGAGCGGAATGTGTCTGTGCACGGGTCGGGCTGGAGGGACCGAGGCTGTGGAGAGGCGACCGGGGCTGCGCTCATCCCCGCGGGCGCTCTCTGTCCCTCAGCCCCGACGGCGCGCACCTCCCTGGGCTGCTCGAGCCGGACCGGGCCGGGCCGGGCCCGCAGCGCAGCGCAGCGCAGCGAGAAGCTCTACCCTCTAAGTGCCATTTGTGTTTGGCTGCCTCGCACCGCCCGTCTCTCTTCTCTTTTTTCCTTCCCCCCCCTCCCAACCCCTTCCTCCCCCTTTTGTCTCTCTTCTATTTCTCTTTTTTCCCTCTTTCCCCCATTTCCTCCCTCAGTTTTCCCTCCGCATCCCATCTCTCATAGTTCTGGGTCCAGCAGCTCTCGCCGATCCGAAGTTGTTTTGCTCCGACAAGCACCTAGAGGTTAATTTCTTGAAGTGCCCCATGAAAAGCGATTAGCTTGGCTCCCGAGAAGTATTTTCTAATTACGTGCAAGCCCTCGCTCTGCTGCTACCCCATAATTAAACGTCTTCAAGGTGCTGCACTTCAAATATTTCGCTCCCGGGGCCGCTGCCGGGAGCCGCGAGCTCCGGCCCCCCGCACCCCCCGCATCCCCCGCACCCCCCACACCCCAAAACCCCTTCGCAGAGACACGCAACAAATCACTGCGTCTCTCTGCCCGGCAGTCACCCCGCGCGGGGCAGCACCGCAGGTATGCGGGGAGCGGCGGAGGGCGAAGGGCTGAGCTGACACCGAACCGAGGAGACCGGGATGAGCTTTATTTATTGTCAATATTATTTTAATGATTTTTTATTCTCTCCCCTTCCTCGAGGTTATTTTTATCTCTCTCTCTCCCGAAGGGTTCCAGCACCGCCTTTTCTCGCCGGGCTGCGGGAGCTTCTCCAGCGGCTCCCCGGCGCGCAGGGCTTTATCCTGGGGAGAAAATCACTGCGGGGCGCTGGGAGAGGCGCTTTAAGATTAGGGCTGGGGCTGCCCGGTCCCGATCCCCGCTCTCCCCGCAGTTCAACCCCGTGTATTCCAACGGGGCTCATGTAGGGGTCACCCCTTTAAAGAAATCCTTTTTTTCCCCTTTCTGCTCCCAGTTTCTTCCCTCTGCCACCCGGTGTTGGGGGCTGAGGGCTGAGGACAGTGCACAGCGCGCCGCCTCCCGTCCCCTCGGCCGCCCGAGGTCTCCACTGAAATTCGGGATGGGCAAAGCGACCGCAGCCCCCGCCGAAGCCCGGCAGCTTTCCTGGGAGCGGCGCCGGAGGGCAGAGCCCGGCCTCGGGGCTGCCCTTCCCCTCCGCAGCCGGGTTTTCACCGTATTATAGACAACCCAAAATAAATGTTTATTATTACTATTATTTCAAATCACCACATCTGTCAGGTTGTTCCCGTGCCAGGCGCGATGCGACACATCCAGGGCGGTTGGTGCTTCTGCGGAGGGCAGGGCCGGGTTGTCGGTGGCATCTCCCCAGCAGCGTTACGGTGATTTTCCCATGGCCGCGGGTAAGGGCTCGGCTGCCTCTGACTCGCGGGACGCCGCCGGCTTTATCCCAGCCGCTCCCCGGGGAGCGAACGAATGAGGCTCGGTGGCGGCGTCCCGGCTCGGGATGGGGCCGACGGGCACCGCAGCGATTCCACCCACGGGCGGGGTAAGGACACCCCCGGGGCGGAGGAGCGGGAGGGGGGAGCCGGCCCTTTCCTCGCCCTGCCCCCTGCCCGGCCCCTGGCCTGGCCCGGCCCTGCCCCGTCCCTGCCCCGTCCTCGTCCCTGTTCTTGCCTCTGTCCCTGCCCCTGTCCCCGTCCCTGTCCGTTCTCCTGTCCTTGCCCCTGTCAGGCTGCGCCCGTGGCACCTCTGTGCACATCCCCGCACCTCTGTGCATCTCCTGGTCCTTCTCTGCTGGCGGCCGTGGAGGCCAACGCAACATCGAAAATAAGGGAATAATGATGATAATAAGACTTTTTTTGGAAAACATAGCGGAGATTCACGATGTAAACACGAGTTTAGCGCCCGATTGTATGGTGTTGGCACGGGGAAGAGGAAATGATGGAAGGTAAAAGAAAGAATTGAATAAGAAATGAAATAAAATTAAGTAGAAGATAGATAATGGAAGGAAAGTAAAAAAAAGAAAAAAAGAAAATAGAAGGAAAGAAGAAAAATAAAACAAAATAAAACGAAGGAAAAAAGTGTGAAAGAAGGTCAGGAATGGAAAAGAACGAAAAGGAAAAATGGAAATGAAAAAGGAAACGGAAAAAGTAAATGGAAATACATGAAAGGAAAAATAAATAATATGAAAGTAAAAGAGGGGAAGGGAGGGGAAGGGAGGGGAAGGGAGGGGAAGGGAGGGGAAGGGAGGGGAAGGGAGGGGAAGG